TTTCCATGTCTTTTACTCTGGGTAACAACTTTGAAGATACTAAATACACAGTACATTACCTGCTGTAATTCTCTTATTTTGTTATAAAGTTTATTTTTTTATAAAATAGAAAGTTACAAAGAGAAAAAATTATCAACCACCTTCCATATCACCCCAAGTAGTTTTACGTTGGGGTTTTTTGTCAAATCTTCAGAGAATAAGAAATTTCTTTCTCATATAAATGGCTTGTAAAAAGGTCTTAACGAAAATAATCAGCTAAACATGTAAATAGGAATGGATAGCCAGATGTGGTGCCACTTACATGTGATCCCAGCGCACAGGAGGCTGGGACACTACAAAATGAGTTCAAGGCCAGTGTAAATAATGTAAGGAGACCTTGACTAACTTAAAAAAAAAAAAAAAAGGATAAAGACAGAGCAAAAGAGAAAGTTTCACTACCTACTTTCATTACCCTATGAATAAGCTGCATGATCTTTGCCAAATCCCTTTAACCTCTATGTCTCAATACTATTCTTATGTATAATTGAGAATAATAATATTATCTATAGCTAGCATTAACAAAGGTTACATGAATTAATACAAGTATAGTCCTTGGCATACATTAACTGATGAGAATATCTGTCATCAGATCAAGTAAGGTATAGCCCGGGGATGCAAGGATAATTCAGCATCAAAAATCATGAAATTTATTAATTTATAATAAGTTTTACTAAAAGTCTGAATTTAGGTATATACAAGTTTGAAGCTTGATACTCACTCTGTGCTTAAAACTAATACATACTCTTTGATTCTTCATAATATGTTCTTCCCAGACCTCTGCAATTCCTAAAAGTTGTGGGGTTGTTAAAACACAGTCCAAACACATAGTTTTGCTTCCAAGTTTTCTTATTAAGATCTTCAGTTTCATGTCAGATCATTGCCAGTGGGGACACAGAGTGGCATTATGTAGAAGTGGGGTGGGCAGAAGCCTGCTTGCTTGCTCACTTTGTAGGTAAAGAGAGTGCAGAGAATGCCAGGGCCAAAGGCAGGCAACACCTGCTCAAACCTATGACAAGCCATGTTTTCAATGGAAAAATATAGGACAAGTTCACATGATGCAATAAGAACCTCCTGTGTCACTGAATTTCTTCAACAGTGTAGCAGGCTCCTGACCCCTATAAAGAGACAAACATCCAAATATAGAGACTGTGAAAACCGTAAAGGGAAAGGCAAATATTCCATTCTTTGTACAGATAATCACATGTTTATAAAACAGAAAGAAGGTCAATTATATTAAAAATATTAGGGGATAAAATGGGAACCTAAAAATACAGTTGGATATTATGAGATCAACAAAAACAAAGCAAGTTTTCTCACAAATCACCAATAATTAATTTCAAAACATGGGATTAAAGTAGCAAATAGAACCTGAAAAGAAATAAAAAGAAATCAATTTTCAGAAGCTTAGCCTGAAAACAGGGCATATGTATTTTTCCTTCTTATTTTTCTTTGGGGGCAGTAGCTCAATAATTCATATTCTGGGCCCTGAAAACATGTGTGAGGTGATAAAATTAAAAAATAACATTCACCAAAAAATGAGAAATAGTACCCTTTGTTCCCATCTTTTTTCTGGGTTTTAATCTAGAGCTTCCTTTTGCCCAAGAAAAGAAGTAATGCAGGTGAGAGAATGTGTTGAAAGATGTGAAGCTGGGAGGAGTTGGAGTTTTCTGGAGATAAGGTGCATATGTGCTTGCCCTCCAAAGGGACATGGTCCCGTCCCCACACAGCTCTTAAGCAGTAGGCACAATCTCATTCCCTGCAGACCTGGCAACTCCCCCCCAATCACCACTTCCAAACCATCTGTGTGGCCAAGTAGGGGGTGGGAGACAAGCTAGCACCATCCACAAATGGACCACATGACCTCAGACTTAGAGTTACCCTGACAATGAAATCCATATGTTCTCCCAGATTTTTCTATAGTTTCCCTCCCCACTGAGTTCCCTGAAAGAGGTCAGGTTGCCCCTCCCACAAAACAATGAAAGCATAACCTGAGATAGAATTTCCAATTTTTCCTGCAAGTGAGGGCTCAGGGTCAGAGCTAATTTGACTTATAAATACAAACATGTGATGTTCCTTGAAACAAAAGCAACAGAGACTCATGTTAACACAGATTATTTATTACACTTAAACAATTGCAGTTCGGCTTGAGGGTGGGGTAGTTACAAGCATGAACTTCAGGTCAGAGCAGATGGATTTGAGTCCAGTCTCTGCCACTTGTGAATATAATAATATTCAAGACATTTAACCTCTGTAAGCCTCAGCATCTTTATATTAAAAAAAAAACAAAAAACGGAGAAAGCAATACTCATCCATGGCATTGTGAAGAGTAAATGATGTTTATTAAGAAATATTCAAAGTGCTTATCAAGGTGCTCAGCATACAGCATGTGCTCTAGAACAGTCTCTGCAGCAGTGCTAGTGGTCATAGTAATGTTGGTAGTCAGAATGTTAATATTTGGACAGCAACAAGTGTCTGGTCTCCATTTCAAAAATACAGAAACAAGCTCAGAGAAAAAAAGATTCCCCAAAGTCAAAAGGTACCCACCCTGAGACACAGCCTAAGACCTGGCACTCAGATGATTTGAATGAAATAGCTGAGTGAATGAATTAATAACAGACGAGAAGAGAGGCCATGGTGTGGTTGGCCATGTGAATTCTTCACTGACATCTGAAGTGGACAAAGATATGTCCGTTAGCAGGAAGTTACTTGGGTGAGACCTGAGGTAGAAGGGGTTCTTCCCTACAGGCCTGGGCTGAAGAGGAGAACCTTGTGCCCTGAAACCCAAGGGAGTGGATCGTACCTGCCAATTACTAGGGTTGAGTTCCATCATCACTGTGTTGGGCACCACCTGGCTCCTTAACTTCCCAGAGACCAAGTCATCCCCACACAGCTTGTGTCCTTAGGACTTCACATTTGGACTTTGCCAGAAGTCTTCCTACTCTACCATTATGCTTAACCAGGACTGCTAAATCTTGATGGGACCAGGCAGAGAAAGACATTCTGTGTGTAATTTTATAGGGTCCTTCCATTCTGGGACCTCACTGTTTCCATCTATAATTGAAGGAACCAGTCAAGGAAGAAGGAACTCTCCACCTCACAATGGAGACCAATGTTGGGGAGTGACAACTGTGTGCTGCCCAGGAGCTCCAAGGGAGCATCAAGATGGATTGTGAATGAAAGGACTTCATCTGGCTTTAATAGCCACCTCCGGCTTTAATAGCCACAAATAAATCTGGTTGGGAAGGAGTTTCAGCATCTCATAAACCAAGTGGACTATCAGGATAGAAAATGTAAAGTAAGGCAAGATTGGACCCATCCTTTGGCATCAGTTCCTGCTCAGAACTCACAGATGGCCAGTCGGTACTGCAGGCAGTTCCTGTCATTCCACGTCCCATCTGAGTACATCTCCACACATTTCTCCTTGCCCCGACCCCTGGGTTCCCCTGGGTACCAGTTGGTATAGTTCATGGGGGCCCCATCCAGGTAGTAGAAGTCCCCTGGGGTGTGGCCCTCTGTCAGGCCCAGGTACGTGTAGATGTTATACTTCTTCACGATGCTGGCAATGGCTGCGTTCTCCTCTGGACTCCTGGGGACAGCAATGTCACCACCTGCTCTGGTGCAAGTCTCCTTAATGGCATTAAAGTCGACCGACTGACCATTACTGGCAAAGATCTTGTCCCCCACTGCCAACATGGACCCCTGCAAGATGAGGACTAAGAGCAGAGGAGTTTGGGTCAGTCCACCAACCTCTGTCTACACCCATCTCTCTCCAGCTTCATTTCTGCCTCTTTCCTGCATGAATGTGCATGTGTGTGTGTGTGTGTGTGTGTGTGTGTGTGTGTGTGTGTCTGTGTGTCTGTGTGTCTAGGTCTGTCTATCTTCTCTTCCTCTTCCAATCTAAGTTTTCTAAATTCCTCTCTGCTCTCATCCATCCATCCATCCATCCATCCATTACTTATTGCCAGAAAAAGTATAACATCCCGGGATTCAATAGAAAGCAAGTTAAGCAGAGAAAATGGGAACTGAAAGCAAGTCCATGCCCATTTGTCACTTCCGGACCATTCAGAGACATTAGAAAATGGTGCATCACTCCTTCCAAGGCCTTCATGTTTATAGTTGTTTATCAGGTCTGTAGTTCTGGAGACCAGTGCCAAGGACAGGAAATTTGTGAGAGACACATAATTATGAGACCCCAAAGGGGTTCCCTTACCTCCTGTTGACTGCAGGATTTTATGTTTAAGGTCACGGAGAATGGTTTGGATTTTCTCATCCAGAGAAGCTGGAAGCCCTGTGGAGAGAACACCACTCTACCTCAGGGCCAAGACAGTAAGATCTCTGCTTGCTGCCAAGCAGTGCCAGCTGAAAGTCTGAAATTCTGTCCATCAAGTGTCTAAGCACACTGCCCAGGCCCCAAGTTACAAGGGCACACAAGGTGGGACGTTTCCACACTCCCCTACCTTCCAAAACAACCTTGTGTTGTTCTGCCCCTTCCTGCTCTCCTCTGGCATCTGGAAAGGGCCCTGTCCCCTACTCTCTACCAGATCTGATAGTCTCTGCTCTCTCCTGATGGACTTCCAGACTATGCAGAGCTGTGAGCCTCCCTCTGCGTGTGGGACTCCCAATCACACCTGCTGCCTGAGTCCTTCATCCAGAACCCTGGGTACCTTTGACAAAGGCTCCCAAAGCTGCAGGCCCAGAAAGGGACTCCTCTGTTCTCAGTGCTGTTCCTCTTCCCGTCTGTGACACCTCATGTCTCTCCATCAACACCAAAATGCATGGAACACTGCCTACACCTGTCAGGCCCTCAATGGTGACTACATTCTTCCAACACTTCCCATTTCTCTCATCAACCACATATTCTCTTACATCAGTGAAGCTTTATGCCTTGGACCCCTTTACCATTTGTCTAGTCCCCATCATCTCCCATGTGGCTGATTGCATGGCACTCTGCCCATGTCCCCACTGCTCATCCCCATCCCTCTCAGCTCTACTCACCTGGAGGGCCCCTCTCACCAGGATCTCCCTTGTCTCCTCTTTCTCCAGGGACACCAGGAATTCCACTCATCCCATTACATCCAGGGAAGCCTGGCATTCCTCCAGGGGGGCCCATGGGGCCTGCAGAGGAAAGGGGACATGGATTTGTGAACCCCATTGTTAACCAGTTGGCTCACCTGCTGTTCCTTGGGCACTTTGAAGATAGACTCCCCAAGAGGCCCTAGAATAGGGCCCCCCAGGGATTCCCATCATGCCCACATCAGCTGAATTCCTGGGCCCAGCCTGACCCCTGGAGAGATGGGCCTACTGAAAATAGGTCCCTGTCCCTCGGCTGAGCCTACAGATTACCCACAGTACCTGGAGGTCCAGGGTCTCCTTTCACACCATCTCTCCCATCTCTACCAGGCAGACCATGGGATCCAGGAGTCCCAGGAGTCCCAGGAATCCCAGGGATACAAAATTCTGTCCTGTTGCACATGATGCCAGAAACTGCCATCAAGACAAGGGTGAGGGCCAGAGAGCACAGTGGCATGGCTCCTGCTCCAGCTGTTTCTCCTGTAGAAGGAAAAGGCCATGAGCCATCTGAGGCATTTTCAAATCTCTCCCCGCACCTTGTGCCTTGTCAGTACTAAAGAATACGGCAGAGCCTGAGGCCAGGCAGGTCCACACAGGAGCCCTGGGAAGACCCAAAATATCCACACACAGAAATTCCCAGCATCATTAGGCATCTAACACAGCCCTGTGCCCGCTCCCTCTAGTTTGCAGCAGTGGGTGCCTTGGATAGGTAAGGAGAAAAGTGAGGAGTGTAGAAGTCAGAGACCCAGGTTCTCGTGGGAGTAGTGCCTCCCAGGATGACCCTGGGGAACTCACTGTGCCTCTCTGACCTCAGCTGGATCTACCGTGCTCCAGAGATAACCCTGACCTGTTCTTCCCAGGCTTTGGGGAGGGGGAACGCCACCTTTACCCACTCTGCCTGTCCCTCAGCATTCTCAGTCACCCTCTTCTTGGGTTCTAAAAAGTCATGAACCTAAGGGTGAGCAGAGATGACCCAGGCTCCTGGAGTGTCTCTGCTGATTCACTGGTGGTGGAGAGACCCTCTTCCCTTAGGCTTGCAGCTGTCATGCTGATTTCCACTGCCCGATTTGACCCAAACACCTAGGGCTGGGGGTTAAGCTCACCCACACTCAGGGCCTCAGGCTGCTTGCGTCTCTGCCTCCAGCTCAGTGTGGAGAGGTAGATAGCACCATTTATAGGGTGAGAAGTGCTAACCTTCCTCTCCATCCCTGAGAGGCCCATTACCCAAGGGCCTCCACTCTAAGGAGGGATGGATGGAAGAGGCTATGCTGTTTACACAGCACATTTCTCCACAGAGCACTCAGGCTGGAGGACCACTTAGGTCCTTGAGGGAAGCAGAAAACCTACTGAAGAAAACTCCAGGCTGTAAGGAGGGAAAGCTCCTCTGACTGAGGCCACCCACTCTATTCCTAATAAGTAATGGCAGATGAAAACTTTTACCAGGCACAAGCATTGATCCATCTCACCCCTGGTGTGGGTCCACACCATGGTAGGCTGTGCCCGAGTTCAAAGGGGGAGTCTGAGCTGAGCACACTGTCTCTCCTGGGATCTGGCTCTGCCAGAGCTCCAGGCCTCCCAGCGCCTACCTCTGGAGCCCACAGCTAAAGTGGTAGGCAGATGGGCCGAGCAACAGGCAAGTACACTGCAGGTTCCTTGTCCCCCTGCCCTAGGAGCTTCTGCTGTGAGAAGGCAGGAGAGAACTGGGGGTTGCAGGACAGCTGCCTTTCAAGCTCGGGCCATGGGTGATGCTGGTTATCTGCAGTGGTGCTTACTCCAAGTGCCCCAATACTGTCCTAATTGGCGAGGTCTCCAGTTCAAGTCACCTGAGAGAGAACCTGTAACTGCAGAGGTGAAAACTATGGAAAAACAAGACAAGAAAAACATCCCCATGCTTCCTTGTAAGTAGTTTGGAAAATCTTGAAATCCTTAAGGAGTGGGGAGACTTTTTAGGGAGTGGTAGTTCAACTAATGGAACTCACTAATCACAAGAGAAATGCACATCAAAGCCACAGTGAAATATCACTTCACCTGAGTAAGAATGGCTACTATCAGAAAAAAAAAAAAAAACTAACTGCTGGGGAGGATGTGGGGAAAAGAAGACACTTGTACATTACCCACAGGAGGGCAAATTAGTGAAGGCTTCAAGGAAAAACAGCATGGAGGTGCTTCAAAAAATTAAAAAGAGAACTACCATATAATACAGCAACTCTGATCCTGAGTATATAGCGAAAGGAGATGAAATTAGTACATAAAAGAAACATCTGCACTGCCATGTTTACTGTAATATTATTCACACACAGTAGCCAAGAAACGGAAGCAGCCTACATGTCCATTGACTGATGAGTGTATAAAAAAATACAGCACATGTACACCACAGATCTACTCAGCCATAAGAACGAATGCAGCAGTGACACCTGTGACAAAGCAGATGGAGCTGGAAATCATTACATTAAATGAAATAAGCAGGAACAGAAAGGCAAGTACAGCATAGTATCTCACTCAGATATGGAATCTAAGAAAGCTTATCTCAGAGAAGTTGAATGTAAAAGCATGGTTAGCAGAGTCAGGAGAGATAGGAGGGGCCAAGATGGTTAAGTTCAGTCAGTGTGTCCTGAGTTGCAGTGAATAAGGGGAAGAAGTTCTGGCATGCTCTTGAAAAGCAGGGTGATATGGACAGCAACTGAGTACTGTGTGTCTCAGTAAAAGCCAGAAGATAGGCATCTGAGTGTTTCTGCCATGAAGAAGTGCTAAGTGTTTGAGGAGACTTATATGCTTCATCTGAGATGTACACATGTATCAAAACATCTCATGGTACCCTATCAGTATGCACAATTCTTATGTTTTTAACATTTTTATGCCAGGAATTGAACTCAGGGCCTTGTGCTTGCCAGGCAGGCACTGTGCCACTGAGCTATATCCCCTACCTTTATGTTTTTACAGATTGGTTAAAATAAATTTACTTTGCAGACAGATACAGTAATCAACACAGTGTAATACTGGTGGAAATGTAGAGAAATAGACCACATAGAAGAGAGTTGAGAGCCTAAAAATATGCAGGCCCACAAATACAGTAAACTTATCTTCAACAAAGGAGCACAGACAGCACAGTGGACAGCTCTCTTGCTTCTTTCCCTGGTGGAGTGAACAATACTTTCATTCCTGAAGGCCCTGGGCCATTTGTTATTGTGCTTATATTAGGATGTTGTAGTTTTCCATTGATTTTAACAACAGGGCAAGGTAATACTAAGAGGTGCCCTAAGGGATCTCCTACACTCCACATATATTCTTTCTTTCCCCCACTGTGGAGTAGTAGTCGAATTTCCCCTTAATAATCTGGGTCAATTACTCCTGACAACACTGTGACTCCCTTCTCAGCTTGTTTCCTCAGAGGCATGTGGAGACCAAAATGACCAGGGGGATATCTTAGCTTCCAGTTCAATGGTACCATTGTTGTGCTTCCTCGTACAAACTTTACCCCCTCTGGAATTAAGACTTCTAAGCCAGCAGAACATAAGGTTGTAGGGGCAGGAAGCAAAAATTTTGCTAATGGGTCACTAGGAGTAATGGTGAGTAGTACCATCCCTACTTCCACCCCTTGATTCCTGGACCCATGAATTCTGGCTATGGGAGACACTGTGCCATATAGTGGGTACTGATTCAAAGCACAAACTGCCTTTTTTCTTTTTTTTTTAAATAAAAGGAGGAAAATATTAACAGACAGACAACATTTTACAAAATAGCAAAGGAACAGTACAGACAGTACAGAGTGACAAAGTGGTAGGGAATTAACAATGCATCTTGTATTACATATTGATATCTTCAAAGTGGTTTCTCATGAAAACAGATATAGACATGCAATGCTTATCAACCAAGGACTCATTGACAGTTTCTTTCAGCAAAGAAATACAAGACAGTAGAACAGCCATGTTGACTATCCTGTATATACATACATACAAAATTTCTCCTTCTTTCCCTTCTCTTTTCCCACATC